GTCATTAGCACCTCTAGTAATATATTTACTGAGAAAAATGGTGACGTGTTCAATACTTATTTTACCCGCTGTATGTAAAAAAAAAAAGGAAAAAAAATTCACTGTGGCGTGTGATCTGTAGGATTAAAATAGAGTTAAGAAGTAAAAAGTCGAACCTGTTGAGCATAGCTTAGCTGTCGAGACAGATCATCTTCAGTCTTCTTGAGCTTTGACTCTACAGCCTGCTTTTCTGCCTGAAACAAGAAGAAAAACATCACCTGCATCTTCTCTCATAGTAGCAATGATCACAGGAAAGACTCAACTCATGTGGAAAACAAGCAAGCTGCAGTTAAAAAGTTAAATCTGTTTTACAGCAGTCTGTAAAACCTTTTTAGCTGCAACAAATCCAACACAAAGATTCTCCAGTGCAGAAATGATACCACCAGAAACGGTATAATCTTTCTAAAACCGTAGTTAGCTTTAATACCTTTTTTTAAATAAATAAATAAATAAATAAATAAATAAATAAATAAATAAATAAATACTGATGTAAACAAAGCAAAGCTCCACATTCAGTTCTGTGTGAAAAACATAAAAAGCAAACCTTCAGAGAAGACAGGCAGGCTGCCAGATAGTCTTTAACCTCTTTGTCTGAGCCTTGGACCAGCCGTAGACACAGGTGGTTCAGGTGCTTGAAAGCGTTTGTCTCGACCACACTGAAGGAGGCTGCACCCTCCAGCAGTGGAGACTGGCATGTCAGCTGGAGGAGAAACCTGCGAGTACAGCAACGAAATACGAGCCAGCTGAGTATTAATGCTTGTTGGTGGAGAAAAAAAGAGGTGCTGCAGGTGGACGTGTTTTATGTTTGGTTGATATTTTACTGGCAGGTTTAGCTGCTAAAACGTAACCGTAAATAGCAGAGAACATCTGATAGATTCCAGTTTCTCCATGTTAATAATGAATCTTCTTCATATACCAGAGTTAGTCATGGAGTTCTTCAGGGCTCAGTACTCGAACCAATACACTTCAGATATGTTAAAGATTAGGTAAAGGTGTTAGACATCACCAGATACAGTTTCCTTGTTTTGCTGATGATATTCAGTTATATTTTTCCATGAAGCAGTTACATTACAGGTATGTCATGGCCCTGTTCAGGTTTGCTGTGGAGTTTGGGTGATCTGACTGTATGTGGACAGCACTGAAGCCTCGGTTTACGTCTAGTGGTCAAGTGTAAAAACCTGAAAATGTTCTAAATAGATGTCTGAAACAAACTCTGTATGCGGGGGCTGGATTGGGTTTCCTGTAGTATTTTACTGAGCTGGACTGCTGGATACTTTACTTAGCACAAAAAGTAAGCAAATTTGTGTTTGATAGTTTGTTTCTTTGTTGTAACAATGCTTCCTGTCAATGAATCTTATAGCACTGAAAGGCCTGTTCATTTCCCTTTTATATGGTGCCACATCTGTAAGGAACATGCATTTGTGGGATGAACAGTAGAGCTGAGTATGTAACAAGGTTATATTAGTTTTGGATTTTTCATTATAGTTTAGTTTTTTTCATTGTGACTTTTTTCTTTCAATTCTGTTAGTTTTAATTAGTTTTTACAGTGGATTTGCTAATTTTTATTAGTTATTATTGCATTTTTAATGCTAAGTTTTAGTTTAGTTTAGTTTTTATTA